ATTCATTTTCCCTCTACTTTTTGCATATCTTTTCTAAAAAAGTCAAAAGTCATTACAAACATTCTGTTTTTACAATCACATTTTAGTCAAAAATTACTAAAAAAACTTGTTTCCAAACGAAGCCTTAATTTCAGTCAAATATCTAAAAATGTATCAATGGACTAACTGACCCAATGTAAAAAAATAAAAATAAAATTTAGAACTATAAAAATCAAATTAACACAAAGATAAATTAAAATGACTACTGCTATAATTTGCTCAACGTAATGATAATCCACTAAAATTGCCTAAACACCACTAATGATTGAAGACTTTCAAAAAATATAAAAAATGTTTGGACCAATTAGTCTCACTAATGTTAGGTGAGTGGTCCAAAGATTGATTTTGGTCTTGAGTTTGTTTTTTTTACTTTTAGCTTATCTACTAGTGGCTAGTTTTTATGATGAATCGATTTTGAAAAATTAAAAACACAAGAACACAAGCAGTGGTCCCGTTCCACTTGCCACATCACTATGTGCTTTAGAAATTTTTAGTGGTCGCAAGCATTTATTGTTTGCTCAATAATAAATTATTACTTTGGATGGTAAACCACAATAAACTTAAACCTTTTGAAAAATACTTTTACCATGTAATTTTGAATGTTATTAAAAAAAAAAAAAAAAAATTGCATTTTTGCTCCTTCAAAATATATATAATTTTACTTCAAGCTTTCCAAAATCTAAATTATTTTGTTTTGCTATCCTAAATTTTTGAAAATTGTCATTATTTTATGCAATTTTTAGTAATTATAAAATAAATTAGTATTTAGTCACTCCAAACCTTTGAAAAATCTCATTCTTTCATGTCATTTTAAAATTTTTGTAAAATAAATTAATATTTTCATTTGCAAAAATCTATATAATCTTACTTCAATATCTCTAAATCTAAATAAATTTGTTTTAACCCCCCTTTTGCACATTTATGTGCCTGCCACTGCTAGCAAGTGATTGGATGTTCATCTCCATGCCAACCATGTTGGATCGTTTTGTTTTTTGATACTCTCTGCACTCATCAATTTTCTTTCTTTATTAATGTAACATCCTAGATTTTCATCAATAAAGCTCCTTTTCTTTTTGCTAATCCCAAAAAAAAAAAGTTATTACAAAAAACATTGAAAGACTAATTTTTATTATATCAGAGTCGTCAAAAAAATGTCTTTTCAAAAAGTCCAAAGAAGTAACTTTACTGAATTTTATTTAATTTTTTTTAAAATGCCACACATAAATAAATCACTTTTAAAAATTTAAAAAAAAATTGTGCCAAAAATTTTACTTTTTGATATCAAATTTTTGTATTCAAAATTATAGTAATTTATTATTTAGATGTCCAATTTTATAGCTAAAAATACAATAAAACACTTTTAACAACTAAAATATTTCATCCATAAAAACTGATATCGTTTCTAAATATTTGTCTCTAAAAAAATCTTAATTTCTATTTTTATATCATTACCTCATTAATTGTGGTAGCCTAGCAAGGTATTTCTTTGCATAAAGTGTCACTAGTCTCGTGTCAATTCATCTTTTGCCTCAAATAATTGCTTTTTTATTCCTTTTTTATTTTTTGTGCTAAGTTGAATGGTTTTCCTCTATCTCTCTTTCTTTTATTTTTTCAAATTAAAACTAGAACAACCAAAAGTTAGCAATTGATATAGGGACAAATGATGTACTGCTCAAAATAAGAAAATGTCAAAATAGTATTTTGGAATGGTCTGCTTTTTCTTGATGCATATTTGTCCAAGTGTGTCCACAAAGAAGACCTATGTTATTATATGTATTCATGGATTAGACTTCAGAAAGCTCTTGGAAATTACCTTAGCATTCTATGTAATAATACAAGGACAAAACATTCATGAAGCCCTTGAAAATTGCTTGATTTTGTACTATACAATTGAACTATCACTCCACAATCCTAATGTTTTATGCCATGTGACCTGTGTTTATGTTTGCCACAAACTTGTACATATGCTTTTCATACATTTGTTGTTTGATTGGCATGGATATTTAAAGGCTGAAGCCCTTGTCTCTTACTTGTTCTTTCAAATCTACTCTCTAGGGAAAGAGGCAGGCGCTTCTAACTTTTGTCTCCCTTCCATTTTCT